ATCTTGCTGACGCTGCTGCTTGCTATCCTGTATTAGGAGCCTGTCTCATAATAGAGAACTTTCCTTTATACATATATTTTCATTAAGATGTTTTATTATTTGTTTATGCCGTCTCCACTAAGTACTCTTCCACGTTTGGTTAAACTCGAAACTGGTTTCGCGAGTGTGCAATTTAAAATATGCTTGAAGTTCGAGTGCGTATTATAATCCCTTAAAAAGCAGCATGTTGATCTTGCCGACGTTGCCGTTTGCTACATTGAAACTTCGAGCCCGATACATCGATACATAACTGCACGGCTCTCGCTTCTTATTTTACGTCATGGGCAGGAATCGACTGGATAAAAATACGCGCCATTTTAAGCATGCACGAGGAATGCAAGGATACGAGTATTCGAGTAAATCCGTTCGGCTTAAGACGAGTACGGCGGTGAAAGTATGAAAGATATTGCCGATGAATCAAATTGGTTGAAAGTACCAGGACTCGATACCTTCGACTAGGAATTTTTATTTTAGTAAAATGAAAAAAAAAAACAAATATCTTACGAGAAAACACATGCATGAATTTACGTATTTTCTCAAGTATATAATGTAGACCTAATAATCATGAAAACTGCCCTCACGGGGTGGAGTGATTCTGCTCTTTTGCACCTTTCTAAGAAAGAAACTCTCAGTTCACGGAAACATTTGTGTAATATACAAATTAAATGGCTTACGCGTATAGATCGAAAGCAGCTTGCTATTCCGGCTAAATGAAAGAACCATATGGCATCACTGAAACTAAGTTTGTAAATCTAATAAGAAATAATAGTACACACATACAGTACACGTAGTATGTGTGTTGCTCGCTATTATTTCTTATTAGACTTACAAACTTAGTTTCAGTGGTGTCATGTTGTTCTTTTATTTAGCCGGAATAGCAAGCTGCTTTCGATCTGTACGCGTAAGCCATTTTTTTTGTGTTTAATTTGTGTATTACACAAATGTTTCCACGAAACGGGCAGTTTTAAGTGCAAAAGGTGCAAAATCACCCCCCCAGCATCCCCTCGCGGCATTTTATCGCGCGAATCGCCCGTTTCTTTCAGGCCATCGCCCGTCGCGAAAATAAGCGCTGAAACTCGGCGAGGCGTTCTCACACGAAAGAAGAAATAAGGGGAGGAGAATCGGAGCTTACCGTGCAGATTGCGTTATCCGACGCTCGACGTTGTCCGGCTCCGCCGCCCGCGCTATCACCCTCCAATCGTTTTTTCTCCCGCACGCGCGCTCTTGTTTCCTCGTTCTCAATTCGGATCGTCGCACAGCTTCTCTCCTCACGTCCTCGCGTTTATTCCTCCCCGCTTCCACGTCCCCGACGAGTCACGTGCCTCGCGAGAGACGCCCGGCGTCTCGTGGACCCGCGTGATCTACGTCTCGGCGAAGTCGCCGAGGTGAGAAAACTGGAGAGGTTTGTACAGCTTCGTACATGATTTCGTGACGAGGGGACGTGTGACCTCCTAGCCGGTCGATTCACCAGTAGGGCGCGTCGTTGGCCAGGTGCTGCCAGGACGCGAACTCGCTCCAGGTACGCATGTTCAACCTGGTGGCTTCCGCGATCTGTGGTATGCCATCCCTCGTCTCGCTGTCGCCGGCGAGGCCGTCACATTTCGTCGTCTGGCTGGTGTCGTATCGCGTGGCCGGCACTCGGGGCTGAAGCATCAGTATAACGTGTCTAAGTCCTCTGGGATCGTTGTAAAAGATTTGAAAGAAATTCAGAATTTATATTTGACCAATTGATATAATGAAAGGCAGGCAAACGCTCTTGCAATCACGTCTCCGAGCGTTAATAGGATAAAATTTTAATTCAACAACTACGAGTATCGCGCGAAGAACACGATCGTCTTTTAAACGTTCGTTTAAGCCATGAATATCCTTGAAAATCAATCAACCGTAACGGATTGCCGCCGCCTGGCAAATATTTGACGAAGACCCGAAGATCCTTGCGCGATAGCAAATAAAATCGCGTAACTTTTACGAAAATATGTCAATCCGTAAGTCATAAAACGCCGTACGCGTCGTTACAAGGACTACAGATAGAAGACACGGATACGTATAAAGTTCCGCGCGTATTAAGAGATGAAAGAATCTTTTTAAAACCCTTACCTCCTGCTTCTTGCGAATCACATAGTTTTTCCCCTCGTTGTTGTCCCACGACTCCTTGCCTTCGGTGCGGTACCTCACGCAGAATTCGATGACGTTCGATGCCACCGGCAAGGTGAGCCGGAAGCGGAAGGTGTCGTACAAGATGAGGGGACCCGGCGATCCCGGTTGCGCCACGTACGTGCAGTGCACGTCCTCGTGAGTGGACCAGCCGTCGCTGCTGGCCCTCACCACGACCTCCTTGTCGTAGGCAAGGTTTCGCACCTTCACCGTGCCCACCAGGCACTGCTCGGATTCGCGCACGATCACGTTCTCCAGGCTGACGTTGCCCTGATCGAGCTTACGCCGGAAGGCGAGATAGTCGCTTGCCGGCTGCGGAAAGGTCACTTGCCACAATGGCGTGCTGTTCTGCGCAGTTTTCTGATTTTGAGCCTTCGACAGGCTGAACAGACCTCCGGTCAAGCCGGCCACGTACGCAGTGCTCCACAGCGGTGGCACGTTGCTCGGTTCCGACATCACGCGTACCTACGTGCCAAATCAAGCGAAATATTCAAGTAAAGAATGCCGGGGCAAATTAAAAGCCGGAAAAAAAGTTAGCCGGGCGAAATATTAATACGATTGCTGAATGATGCAATAACGATACGTTAAAATTGAACCACGTGGCTCGGGAACCAAGTTCAGATTTGTCGTTTTCTTTGGTATTAATTGCACAATTGTAATTTTAACCCAGATGATCACAAGGTGATTCTGTTTAACATTTTGATATTGAGTACATAAGCTTAAATCGCATCTCTCGGTACTTACTTTCCGCCTGATTTTATTTTGCATGATTTTAGCTCGCAGGTTCATAATTTTATCAACGAGTACAAAAGTATGAATTGTGAAAAAGCTAGCGATTACTAGCGCACACCCGCACTACAGTAGAACAAATCCAAATAAAAACCGTAATTTAATAGTGCACTGGGATCGGACAGAATGGACAATAAGAACGTATACCGCGTGTGCTTAGAATGTCGTAGAACACCGTAGACTCTAGAAATTTGCCAATTTCCCCGAGCCCGTCGTATTTCCGCAAAACCGGAAGTACGTCGTTTCTACGTTGCGCATGGTATGAAGATGCTTCGAATGTGTTTGAATAGTCAGATACCTAGATAGCATGCATGTCTAAACGATCGTCTTTAAAACGGTGTTAAATTGTCTTTTAAACAGTTGGCTTTATTTATTAATGCCTGGACCTCAGTTTTACTAGGATTCACATTTTCATAATCTTTATTCCCATCTATACTTCGATGAGTTTCAGGCTGCAGTTCACAGCTTCTATAGAAGTCTGTGCTACATACAGCCTGCTCTCTCAAATTTTTGGAGCGAAAATACCGCCGTGGAGTGAAATATTCAACTCTGTTGGGGTAAATTCACTTCAATAGGGTGAATATTTCACTCCATGGCAGTATTTTCACCCCAAGAACTTTAGAGAGTGAAACTCGGTGATTTGTATAAATGAGAAGAAGATGATAAAAAGATGATAAAAATGCAGTCAAGGCATTAATGAATAAGAATGTACGTCTAAAAGTTGTCTTAAGCCAGCGGTAAACGATGCTATTTTTCCTGCTGGACTGTTTGCGATTCAGTGAATTACTAGAAATTTTGAGTGTTGAGTGGTGCAATTATAGTAATTTACTAGATTGCAAGCTATTCAGCAGAAAAAAACAGCATCGGGTGCCGCTGACTTTAGGTTGGATTCACACTTGGTAGGAAAGCAGAAAGCAGAAAAGCAGAAATTCAATCAGGGCAACGATTGTGTAACTTTTCCCCTAAAGTGGAAACATGAGAAATGAAAAGTTTTACGCGAATACAATAATTTCACTAGTTGAAATCATTGAGTCGACGTGAAATTTTTCACGTGGAAAATTTATAATTACTACCCAGAATTCTCCCTAGTAGTAAACAGCACACTCTGCCATGCTGGCAGAAAGTAGAAGCTGTCGAGAGTTCTGATTGGTTCCGATTGGATTTCTGCTACTCTGATTTCTGCTTCTCCGCTAAGGTGTGAAGCCAACCTTAGGGCTGTTGCACACAAAATTGCATAACTGCATGTGCATAGCACGAGACCGTCTAGATCAATGAACATGTTATGGTTTGGACAGTTCTTATGCTATACATAGTTCTAGGAATATTCTTCTGGAGTGCAAATATAATTCTTAATTTCAGAATATTCCAATCAAATATTCTATAAATATATATAGATTATTACAAGTAGAAATCGTATATTCATAACAAAGACGAACCTTTTTAGAATATTCGTCGAGAATGCCTTTGGAATATTCGTTCGGAATAATTTTTGAATATTCATCGAGTTTATGTATTGCACATTGTTTATTGTGTAATGGCACTTATCTTACGCAAAAGGCAGTGAAACCTGTGATCATACCATATATAACCGACACATTATATTCGATAGATTATTCTATTCACATTCGAAAAAGATTTACAGTAGTGTCAGTCGAATGTTCCACGAACATAAGACAAGTATATAAGTATGACCTATAAAATATTCCAAATATTCTTGAAGAATATTCTTAAATGTTCATGTGCTATTTGAGTATGTAGCTATGCAATTTTGTGTGCAATAACCTTTAAGTCCGTATCAGACTACGGATTGAGATTGAGGATTAGATTGAAATTTGACCAATTGGAGTAAAAGTTACTAAACTTGAGATTAGTAAGCTTTACTGTGATTGGCCAAATTTCAATCTAATCCCAATCTCAATCTGTAGTTTGATACGGGCTTTAGGGTCTATCTAGACAAATTTGCATGGCGCATAAACATATGCATAAGGAATCTGATTGGGCCATAAGTGCATGCATGAGGAAATAAACCAATCAATCTCTTCATGCGTATGCTTATGCACCTATGCAAGTGTGTCTGAATAGGCCCTTGAAGATATCTTTATGATGTCTTTTAGACACGCATTACTATCTGGGTAATTGACGCTATCATCAAAATTGGTGTAATTTTGAAGAAAGGATACAAAAAACGTCGTGGCATAATATCTCGTATAAATTCGCAAATGTCGAGTACAGTAATCAAATTCGTCCGTCGTGTAAACCGATTTTACGCGCGAAGCTTATCAAGACGAAGAAAGAATCGTGGAAGTACCTGTGTGAGGGGGCGGCCGCGATCATCGGCGAATACCACCCGTTTCTTCTGCTTGCCATCGTTGTTCCGCAGCGAGTCCAGAGACAAGGACCCTGAAGAGAGGCACGGCCTGATTCTGGGCGGCACCGATCGGCTCGTGATCGTGGGTGCCGTGACCACCAAGGGGCCGTACAGCAGGGGGCTGTACACCGGAGGGCTGTGCAGCATCAATTCGGCCGGCATCGCTATCGAACACATTTAGACCTGCGAACGAAAAGAATCCACTTTTTTCATTATACGCGAACGACGCGGATGCTGTAAATGTTACTCTTACGCCCGTTTTTCTACCAACGCAGCTTAACTTTGATCTCGGTTCAACTTGCTTCATATCTTTTTTCCAGTTTTACGAAGTGGAAAACGATAAGAAGTAATTTAAACCGGGATTAAAGTTAATCTACATCGGAAGAAACGGGCATTAGGGCCAGTTTCACAAACGGTTGACCGCTAATCGAAGGTTAATCGAGTCCTCCGTTTCTTCTTAGATACAACAAGATAGAAAAAAGACAGGGAGTTGACTGAACTCTGGTTAACAGTTAACCGGCCTTTGTGAAATTGGTCTTTATTGTTAGAATAGAAAGTACAATCCGCTTTTACGGGCTCTGAAGTTGGAGACTCTGGGAAAAAAAGGCAGCAACCCATTTCGAGGCCCACAATTAGTAATCGAATTATTTGGATTGTTCGTAACTCGTGCTCTGGGAAAAATTTTGACCGTTTCTCTTTGTAGTTAAGCAACTTAACATTTCGGTTAGTGCCTCTTTGGTGAAAATTACCTTTGCGTTACTGATTATCGACAGAACTTATTGAGAGAATTGATTGCAATAGTATCACTTTAAAATCTTGGATACAGATAGAATAGCTAATTGCGATTTTTAGTTACATAATTATGTCATCCTTTCATGAATATAATCGTAAAACTGTTATAGAAGCAACGGCCGTTCGGAACTACGCGCGAGAAATCGAACGAGACTGGAAAGATACCACTTAACAGTGTCTTAACGACACTCTGGCGCCTGGTCAGAAATTTATTGTTGCCGAGACGACGGTCTCTTCGTTTTAATTTCCGCGGGTGAAACCTACGAGCGCGTTCGAAGATTGGAACATTTCTCGGCTGCCAGGGATTTCGTCAGCGATTCATCCCCGGATCACATGGATCCGCATTGTTTTAATGCCATTGGAAATACTTATTAGCTATGTCGATCGAATGCCAATTAGTTGGCCGATACGCGCGACGGTTATAAGTTCGTCGATTTACTAATCGCATTCTTTGCGGCGACAAAAACAATCGTATCTTTAAACGTACATTACCAACGAAAATGCCTTTAATACCTTAATAATTTATTCTGATAAACGCGAATATGCCACATTAACGTATTTTGCCGAATTATCAATTATTATCTGCTACGTCAAACGCGACCAGATACGATGCCGTCAATTATTTATCGACTGCATTATGCTATCGTGTAAAATGATCTATCTTATGTGTTACGTATGTACATTTTTGTCCCAAGATATGATAATTGCGTGGTTAAAAGTGAAGTGGTAAAGTGATTAAAGGTCATCATAATCCGGCGACGTAAGTAAGATCTGTCACATCTTATTAATAAGAGTTTTCCCAGATAAAAGTAATATGCAGCGTAAGTAACATTCGTGTTTTTGTTTATATCGTATTGACTATCTTATAGACATAACGCTCTGCTACGTGCAAGATTGTTGCAGTTCAGTGCAATGTGCGTAGATCCTTGATCCGCCTAAGCGAGAGGGGCTTAAGCCAACGGCAACATTATACTATTTTTCCCACTGGATTGCGTAGGAGAATCAATAAGGTTGCAGAGTTTTAAGCCAACGGCACACGATACTATTTTTCCCCATTGGATTGCTTACGAGAGCCAATCAAGATTCAGTCTTGCTCCGCATCCTCATTGGTTCACGTGAGCAATCCGGTAGGGAAAAAGTAGTACCGTGTGCCGTTGGCGTTAAATCCTGATTGGTTCTCGTAAGCAATCCGGTAGGAAAAATGGTATCGTGTGCCGTCGGGTTTAATTGCGCTTCGAACTCGTTAGCAACTGCGCGTATCCGCGCACATACGTGCAATTTTGTCGTTGGTAAAACTTTTTGCGCGCTGGCGCATATGTATATTATACACATAATCAAGTTACCCGCGGAGTAGAATTACGACTCCCAAGCGCGACGAACCGGCGTGCCGCTCTTCCTTCTCTGGGGACCGGTTCCGGGTGAACCGGGCCCCGAGACGCATGTACAGTAGGTACCAGACCGAAACCAAACGGCAGCGCAGAGAATCGGCAGACCGTGAATCGCGCGGGCGCGATTTCAGATCTCAGCACGAGGTTATCTCCTAAATCATAGATCTAACATGAAATATAATTAGCTTGCAACAGGTTGCGAACACTCTGTTGGCAAAGTAAGTGCATCCGAACACCTTGTACGAGTGGTGTAGCGCTTGTTTCTTCCGATAGAGCGGGAAAGGTGCGGCTCGCTTGATATTAAAAATTATATTAATCGAGTTGAACCACAAAGTGAGCCATGGGCTAACTATGCGATCGCAGAAATTACAAAGAGATTTAACCTGCGATGATTCGTGCATATATTTAACTACATATTTGCCCGCTTATATTAAGTTGGACATTTACCCAAATATTCGCGTCATGGATATTAAATGTTCGTACTTGTACCCTCCATAAGTTTGGAAACACCCTATATGTTACAGATAAATAGTGGCACAGCAGCGATCTGCGCACATGTTTGGCACAAATATATCATAAGTCGTTTAAATAACGAATTAGACAGGAGGATTCGCAAAGAGCGAAGTGGATCTCTGGGAGATTCTCCAGCAAGAATGGAAACGGAATCCCGACGGAATCTCTGCAAAAGTTAATCTATCGCATGCCGCAAGACAGTCGTTAAAGCAAAAAGCGGTTACTTTGACAAAATCTAAAATTTAATTTCAATTTATTAAAAGCTTGTCGTATGTATCTTCGTTTTAATTGTCTTTAGTTAAATAAACACTTGCAAAGCAAAGTACATCGATTTCATTATGTATTTCATATTACACACTTTTATTAAGTGCTTCCAAACTTATGGGGGGTACTGTATAAAAGTGCGTAACGTGCAGAAATAACTGTTATATATACTAAGTAATGCAAACAACATTTGAAAAGTATTCGAAGGAATAAAAGGATTGAAAAATATTATTTCAGTTCGGAGAGGTTTGATCGTAATTACGTGTTGATTAGAAGGACTTATTAAATACTTATTAAATACCAGGAATAAAGACAAAAGAGAATTAAACTAGATACCGCACGGAAAGAACTCATTGTAAAACTTGACATTCGGCACGGTTCACAAGATTGTCCGTTACGTACAAGCAAGGGTCGTCGCATGGTGTTATTTATCTTTATCTTGCAATGATTTAACAAGGTCGAACTGTTTGGTCTAACGATTTACAGTTTTACACAAAGAATCTTATCGCTTCTTGGTACGCTCACTATCATTCCCCTGTAATTTTCCGAAGACGTTACACTACGCTTTATCTAACCGACAATACGTATCGTGAAAAAACGGCAAACCATATAAAAATAGCGATTCGGTTATGCAATTGTAACCGTTTTTACTTGCGGGCGAGAAAGCGACATTGAGCGAGCAATGGAAGGATATTCGTTTGCACAATAATGTTCACGTGAACGTTGAATAAGATGAAAATTATCCTCGCGCAGCAACGTCGATAAGTACGGACATTATTAAAGAATTAAACCGTTACTTTATTTCACAGGTCAGTATTGCCAAGATTTTCTTCAGATCAATCAAGATCAAGGAGTTATCTCGTAGAACCTTGTCAGTCCGTGAATTATCATACGTTCGCGGACAATAAGCCTTCGGCGCGCCTCATTGCACTTCCTGTTCATCGACTCGGCGATTCGTGATCGGCGCGTTGCACTTTTCTCCTCGGGCGTACCGCCGCGTGCTCGAACGCGATATATTTGGCGACGGTATTTTTACCGTTCCCGCAGAGACCGCAGAATGAATAGGTTTTAAACTCACGGGCTTAATTCTCGACGCGACGTGCCTCGTTACATCTCTATTCAGCGACTTTATCGCGTTTTTCCGAGACGCATGTTGCGTGCTTCAGCATGATAAATCTACCCGCGTTATTTTTCTCGCGGATACGAGGAGATGAAGAAACCTCTGAACGAAGTAATGATCGGGCAGGGCCGTCATCTATTAATTGTCGTAAACAGTTAGGTAAATGTTGCATAATGGACGAGAGACTGTTGACAAGATGACGTTTATCGAAACATTTCTTGCAACGGCCTTGGAGTATCGCGAGATATTATTTTCACCAACATTTATAATAATCGTTTATTGCACGCTACGTTACTGACTTTATTAAAAATAATAATTCACAATATTGTTAAATATATACAGGAAAGTCCTCTATTATGAGATAGGATTCTAATATGAGATAGTAGGTTTCCAATGTTTCCAAATTCACTCACAAATCCTTTTCTGCAACGATCCAACAATCAATTTTCCACTAAACAGAATTCACTCCAAGGGCAATCTTAGGGGATCAGAGCACTATGTGACTTAAAAAGAAAACATTAACACGGATAGAGGAATGACTCTGAAGTCACATAGTGCTCTGATCCCCTAAGATATGCTTCATTCGGTCTAAACGAGTTTTACTGAGGAGGACCCGAAGAAGGGTCGCTTTATTGTGAGAAACCGAGTTCCGTTCATTTTCTAACTCACATTGGCGCTCTCTCCTTTCTACATATTTTCTTTTATATGTGCACGTGTTATTTAACACACAATGTAAATGCAAATGCCCCGGAAATTGATAATCATTAACAAGAATCACCAATGATGTGTATTCGTATGGCTGTTGGTAGCAGAAAGAAAGACGGCAGTTTATCGCCTGGCCTCTTCTGTTTACACATGTGAGACCGTGAATACGCGACGCGATTGCAGCGAATGGCCCGATAGGCGATCGAACGCAGTTGTAAAGGCGCATTTTTCTGCGCTTCGATCAATATATTAACGATTATGTCACACCTCTATGATTCTTTTTATAATGTTAATAAATATTTTTTTCCATACTTGAAATAAATGTCTATCCGCCAATACGTTTCTAACAACGGCGGGATAAATAATTAATATTATAATTATTATAATAACGATCGTATGCT